AGACTTTTTGAAATTTTACTAGAAGTAAAAACTGTCATAGGTGAGATTTAAAAAAAAAATAGTTGGAAGAACAGGTACATAAACAAAGATACACTTTCCCAACATACATGTATAAGATTTTCTATTAATAGTCTGCCTATGATTGTCTTTTCACCAAGGTTTTCAAAAATTACATACCCGGTATTTTTTTTAATAGCAACATGATATATGTTCACAATTCTTTTATATATACATGTAGTTGAAAAAACAAGTAACACGGTAAGTGGAAAAAAGATACGAAATAAATTGAGATATATAGTAATGTAATGTACAGGAAATAAGAGAAAGAATTATGTAATCCTTACATATATTTCAGTGAAGTGGTAAAAAACCAGTAAAAGATAAACCCAATGCATGTGCATACAAACAATTATATAAAAATAAATAACATTACACTCTACTTAAACAAATCGCAATGATAAAAATCCATAACCATGAGATTTTTGGTTTGGATCATTCTTGTTTAATCATCCACCAATCGCACAACATCAACTCTTTTTTCCTGGTCTTCTCTGCTCTCTTTCTTTTTACTCTGCAAATCAGAAGAGTATACTATAATTTTTCTGAAAATTGTCAAGTTTAAAAATGAAGGGAACAAAAGGCCCATGGGCTTTAAAGGTCACCTCAGGATCATGAGTCCTTAGATTAATTATGATCACTAATTCTACCGGGAACCGCTTTGGACTAAAATAACAATATTAAAACTCTGGAAGGGACTCTATCATCAATAATCACAATTACATAGTTTTTCTTTATAAAGTTTAGAGTTCAGAAAAAGAACATTGTAAATTTCAATAAACATTCAACTTAGTCAAACCATGAGACATAAGGTAGGTTCTTTATAAACACATAAACATTTTCATTCATGTAATGATCCTGAAATAAGCCTGTGACCTCTGACCTTTTTATCTCCAGCCAATCGTGGTTGTTGTGGAAGCTTCACAAACCCAAGGTCATCCTCTGGTGGTGTAAGGGTCACTGCTGGTGCAGTGTCTTTACGATTAGCAAAGCTTATCACTAAATTGGAAATAAAGGTACATGTTATGTATTATACAACTCTTTCCTCTGATTCTTTAAAAAATATTCTTTTATCAAAATTTTCATTACTTCTTGTAATTTTGAATTGATGTTTTGAAATACATAGTGGCATACCTATTAAAAGTAAATCTATAAAAGGCCAACTTTTAAAAAAACATTTGATTGCCTTCTAAATTTTTTTCTTATTCAATAACTCTTGAAAATATGTATTAAAATTATTTTTTTACTTGGATTAGAAACTCTGCACAAATTTAACAAAATATTTGTTCCTGTTGGAAGGGCACAAAACAGTTTTTTTTTAAAGATGGCCTAAATAAAAATGAAAAATTCTATCTTACTTGTCTGATCACAGAATGAGATGGAATGTGTATTAATATTGTGCATGTTTGAGTCATGATAGAATTCAGAGATGTTATTAAGTATATAAAAAAAACTTCAAGAGTGGATTTACTGTAGTGTTAAGTTAAAACACCAGAAGTTAGAAAAGGGGAAATAGACCTAGATACAAGAAATTCAATGTTTACCACATCAGAAGCTGAAATAAATAGGAGATATAAAAGAAATAATTTCATGCAGATTTAAATACTGGTATTCACATATAAAAATGCTTACATAAACCTGTACAATTAAATGAGCTGAAGTTTTGAGTGACATTTGACAAAAATAACTGGCAAGCCAGTATGTGTGTCAACACCTACATGTAAATTTGATTCAAGTTTTTTATTTCAACCAGAAAAAAATTAAGGCATGTATTTTAAACATGATTTAAATATATTTTTAAAAATCTTTTGGTTGGTGTACTGGCATTATAAATGTATTACATAAACTTTTGCTCCATCGAGGCATTAATTTTGATACTTCAGTTCATTTATTTATGACACAACCTGTATTTTTTTTTTACTGACGTTGCAGTTTTGTTTAAATACAAAGGATTTTCATGCATAGTACATGTATAATCATGGCTATTAATTTCATGCACTTGGTAGCAATAATATAAGCAAATCCTATTATGCAAATTTTGAGTTTCCTGACAATACATTTACAATGTATGGAAGTCTTTTTAGGTCTCTTGTTACTTTTTATTCTATATAAATACTCCTGTCAAAAATGCACAAATCAATATGCTAAGATAATACTTCAACTTATACAACTTGCATTACTGATCCCAGAAGGAAGCAGATTGTGCACAGAAGCAAATAGAGACCCTGGCAAGCCTAATAATCTGAGCTGGCATCACATCACACAAAGCAGAAGGAGAGGAAATAAATAAGTCTTACCTGTAATTATCATAATTACAATGTGGAGGATAAGAAAAAATAGAGCTGCTCTTGGAAATATTCTCACAAATCTAGAAACAGTGTTTGGTTCACAGACCGCTTCACAGCACTGACGAGGGTCCATTTTGTCTGCGATATTCAAATCTTTATAACAGTCTATCAGCAAACTATAGTGCTAAAATAGACAAGAAAATGCCGCCCTAAACTTTCTTAGCACAAGAAATTGAATTATGTTTATTAAAAAAAAAAAGAGGCCCATAGGTCACAAAAGAATTCAGAATCTACAATACCTCTGGAAGCTTTCACACTAGTTACATCTCTTCTGGTTCAGTGGTTTAGAAATTTTCCTATATATTTTCATATGATTGAAAACTGAGATTCCCATTGTGGCCCTACCCTATCCCCAGGGATTTTGATTTATATACCAGGAAATTAAGAAATAATAGTACCTCAGACTACTTTCGTTTTTCTGGTCCATGGTTTTTGAAAGCCTTCGGCAAAGCTAAAACAAGGGTTTTTTATTTTTATTAATATTATTTTTTTAAAATAAATTTCCAAACTGTCTTTATATTGATAGTTAAATCATGGTCCTGGTTATTCACTTTTAATCCACTTGTCCAATATTACAAAATACTGAAGTAAACAAAAATGTGAGTTATTAGATGGATCATTTTCAGAGAAGATTAGTTGAATCTTTCTTTCAGATGAAGGAAAAAGGAAAACTTTCCATAAAGAAAACAAATACCCTGCAGATGGAATTTTTTTTTACTTCATTTGTAACCTACCTTTGATTGTAGTATTCTTTCATCTTTAGACTTCAAATGCTGGTACTATTATCTCTCCTTAAATGATCTAATATCAAAAACAAAAGAAAAAACATTAATGGTAATAAGAAATATATTTCTGCTTTTTTACCAAATCTGTAAGAACAGAATTTAAAGAGGTCAAAATCAACATAATTGAAATATTTGAAAAGATGGAACTTTCCAATATCAGAATTTTTTCACCAGCAGAGCAAGGGAAATAATCAAAGTGCAGTTTGTAGAAAACTTAAAAAAAAAACTTTCTTAAGCTTAGAAAAATAAATTTTCAATATCATTTGCATTAACAAAATCACATCCAAGGACATTAATTACCTAACAGTATCTTTTGAAGAAATAACTGAGGATCACAACAAGGGATAAGGGGCCTTTTAGGAGACATGCACTCACAAAAAAGACAATTTGTAATGTCATATATATATGGATAACTGTTAACAATTCATTCCTAATACGCTTAATTGAATAACAATATACCCAAACCAACCTGTCAAAATCACCCCTAGCTACCCAATCATTTTATTCAGCATTTTGAATTTTGAACTTTTTCTTTTTTCAGTTTCCATAGTATAATTTCTCTAGGATGCTTTTTGATTAAAATTTTTATAGCAATAAATATTTAATCTGTATAACTATCCAGAGTGAAATGAAAACATCAATAAATTTCTGAGTCTGTGATTTTTATGAAAGTTATAATTTTGTCCAATATTGTAAAACAAAAATAAAAACTACCTACCAATATACTTGGAAAATATGGGTATTCAAACAATAAAAATTCATCTTTTGCTTTAAAGATTCAACAGCTGCAATATTGGAACTACTGGTATGTATGATTTGGGTTGTTTTTGATAGCCCAGAGTATGTATATGACTGGTCAAATACTTGTTACTCTTCATTTACTTTTTATAAAAAACGTTTTCGTGAGTGCATGTCTCCTAAAAGGCCCCTGATCCCTTGTTGCAATCCTCAGTTAATAGCTTTATCAAGCAGAGCTATTTTGAATAGGTTAATAAAGCTATTTCAAGCTCTATAGATTAAAAAAAGACTTAGACATTGAATAGCTCCAGAACTGTACAGTAGCTCTCCAAAAAAAAAAAATCTGAACAGACCAGAGAGCTACTACAGTGCTTCCCATTGAAAAAAAAATGTATATTTACTGAGCACAAAAAGGTGTGCCGTTTCTCGATTTATTTCTCTATTTTTTTTAAACTTTCATCACGAACTATTTCTTACTCTGTTCATAACATATTCTTTCACTACATTAACTACAAAACATCCATTATAATTATTGTTAAAAACCCTCAATCCTGGCCCTAAATGAGATAATAAAAAATTTCATCTATTTATACTGCCAATTTCTTCGGAAGATAATTTGGTCCAACACATTTCATGCAGATGTCAACTACGAGATTACTGATTGATATACACTGTAGGGGTTTGGAATTTTTTTATAAATCTAGCTTTTTTGCAATTGATGTAAGAATTATGAAGAATTAATTCAGAACCAAGAGCAACATTTTGCATAAATATACAGCCTTTTCAATGGGTGGCGCTGTAGCTCTCCAGTCTGGTAATATATTTTTTTTTGGAGAGCTACAGTTCTGCAGTAAGAGATTGTGCTGGACATGGCTTAATATGGAGGTAAAATTTGTTTCCGTCTACTTCCGACAGTAATCCGACTCTATATTTTCTTCTTTTTTTTTGTTTTACCTGTTTTGACCATATCATCTTCAGCAGATTTCAAATATGACGAAAAGGTGGCAGAGGATAGTTTTTTTTTTTGCAATCAAAACGTTTGACTGACAGTTTACTTAATATTGAGATGCTTTTAAAACGTGCATTGAAATATTTTAAATTCCCTCTACATGTAATAATAGTATGATGTAGTCCCTTGAGGAATTTGAAGCTTTTAGGAATAAAACATGTACAACTTACACAATGATCCCTAAAGATGGCGCAGCGACCATCTCAAAATTTCATGTAAATCAAGCCTATTTTCACTATTTCGCTGCAGCCACAACTGCTTCCAGTCCCGTGCTCATGACCTAAGCTACCACACAAATTGCAGAATAACATTTGTACATACCAATGAACAGCAAGAGATAATGGCTCAACCATCTCCTTTTCATTAAAGCTACAATTCATCCTATGAACCCACCCTGCTTTTCTGGTGAAATACCGGTAGAGTGAGTTTTGAGCTTAGTTTCATATTTCTAGTCCATATCCCATATACAGTAGTAGTGACACTAAAGTGTCATATTTCAATAAAATATACAAGGCCACCAATTCCCTCCAAATGCACCCATAAAATATTCTAGCTATAAAATTAGCTATAATATACATTCAAACCTCAGGTTTCTCTATTTTTTCTATTTTTTGACCGGTACTTTAATTGAAACTATCCTCTGCCACCAAGAACAATTTAAATAGAAAATAGTTCGTGCAGTATGGGACAAAATCTTGCGAAATACTTATTCGGTTATTAGGCTAGTAGAGGAATAAGGGGTAAGACTATCAGAATGAATTTAGGCAGTTAGGGTTTCTGACGGTTTACTACATACCATATGTACACAAATCAGCAAGCAGTCCAAAATTGCACAAAAATGATTAAGTGAGCAAAGAGAAATAAACTAATAAATAACACGTTAGGGCCAAGTACTTCAGCAACTTCTTGCAGAAGACCCCCTACCAGTTTTTATGTCTAACTTGTACATGTATTAATTCGATTTGATTTTATAGTACTTCAACGAATAAACAGACAAATTTTTCTGAAGCTTATCAGGAATGAAAATGTCTGTTTAATAATTTTATATCATTTCAATTTTATTATCCGTTAAATGGTTATTGTTCCAAATCATCTATGCACGATTTAACTAATACCACATATGATAGATCAACTTTGATTGGTTAAAAATGTTACATGGTTTTTAATTGGATATTTGGCAGTTATATAAACACTTATTTCTTCTGTGTACTTTCTTAGTTGATGATATTTGCCAGCTCAGAGGTGGCGGGAAATTTTATAGAGAAAAGATCGTAAGTTTATTTTTCTTTTTAAGGAGAGATGTTGATCTTTAAATGATTTTCCTGACATGGACTTAAATACAAATTTTCAGTCACGATGAAAAGTGTGCAAGATCACATTTCTCCTTTGATCTTTGATCAGTTTGTATTATTGACACCACTTGAGAGTTGATTGTTTGATCCGTTTATTAACTGATTTCATAACCTACTTTACTGTAGGTCTATCACTTGCCAGTATTTATCTGTACTGAATAAATGGGAAAAGACCATGTGCATTAACTTTATACACATACCTGAAAATTATATTTTAAAGTTGTTTTTAGCAAACAAGGTTGGAAAATGAGGAAATAGTTCAAGACATGAGATTAAAACTGATTAAGTGCATTGTCCTGTTATGTAATGCTAAGAATCCCCTATTTTGCTTTGTGCAACTTTATCATAAACAAGTTTGTATCTGATTAGATTAAGAGTGAGCAACTTATAAGGTATTCCTGCATTTTTTATCGAGAAACTTTTGAGGCATCCTGCTGTTTTATTTTGATCTTTTTTTTTTTGCAACAAAGTGACAATGGAAAATGCAATCTTTCAAAAGAACTGTGTGAAAAGGTTGTGTAACATGTTAGGACTACTCTCCTAAATCAGAAATAATAGTCAATCTGCATTATATTATTCAAAATAAAATGAATATACATTGCAAAAAATGGAGAGGAAAGAAAAGAAAAATAAATTTAGTTAGAAATTAAATATTAATTTAGATATGTGAGGTTGATCATCAAGACATTTTATAACCTCTTTAAAGAAAAATCAGTTCTCATGTGTTAAAAAATTTTATCTTACGAAAGTAATATCAGTGATATGCTTCCTTTTTTCATATGACAAATAATGATTTTTATTTCGGTATAAGTAACATAAATTGGAATTTGGCAAATTTCCTCTTATTGCCTAAAATTTACTCTTTAAGTCCTCCTATTAAAAAAAATTTAACCCCTGAATTAAATATATATATATATATATATATATATATATATATATATATATATATATATATATATTATTATAAAAGTTTAGCTTAAATGGATCAAGAATACCAATGGTGCAAAGATAAACTATGACTTGAAGATGTGTTGTGACCTTAACTGATGTGTCATTACTTTGGGAAGGTCAAGGTTATGTTAACAAATTGCAGATCAGCACTATAAACTTCAGCATTTCATAGTATTAACTCTAATTTGCTTTCAATTAGTTTGATCATGAATTAATAATAAATAATGTTCTTATTTAAAGGGAACGATGGCCAATCCCATTATGAATGGAGGTGGAGACCACACAGACCTCCAGGCAGACATTTCTGTCGATGACCCTGAAATGTATAACTTGATCAAACAGGAAAAGGAGAGACAGATGAGAGGACTCGAACTCATTGCCTCGGAGAACTTTACAAGCAAGGCTGTCCTCCAGTGCCTAGGGTCCTGTCTCACAAACAAATATTCAGAAGGTCAACCAGGACAAAGGTAAAATAAAAAAAAAAAAAAATGTATTTTTAATATGTACGAGGAGGATATTAAAGAAAGCAACAGGTTAAGTTTGTTACTAGATTATGTCTTTGTAAACAGTTACTTAACAAGGATGTTAACAATGTCAAATCAACTGTAGGTATTATGGAGGGAATGAATTCATTGATCAAATAGAGCTGCTATGCCAGAAGCGAGCCCTGCAAGCCTTTGGATTGTCCCCAGATAAGTGGGGAGTCAATGTTCAGCCTCTCTCTGGATCCCCGGCTAATTTTGCTGTCTACACAGGAGTTGTTGGGCCCCATGGTAGAATCATGGGTCTTCATCTTCCAGATGGTGGTCATCTTAGTCATGGCTTCATGACTCCCTCTAAGAAGATATCTGCCACGTCGGTGTACTTTGAATCCTTCCCATACAGAGTTGATCCAAAGACAGGATTAATAGACTATGACCAGCTTCACCAGAATGCAAAGCTCTTCCTTCCTGATATGATTGTTGCAGGTTTGATTTGGATTTTTCTGTAAATTCATTTGCTTATCTATGCTATAATTTTTATTTGCTTATCTATGCCAGTGATTAAAATGAGATTCTTGATGAGAATTTGTCTTCTATCTTCCTTGGTTTTCACAAACTAAAGTTTTGAGCCATACATTGCATTTATGTATCTATTCATTAGGGAAAGAGTCAAGTTTTGATTATGTATTAATGTCTAGAATATACATAAAATGTATGAGTATAAAATTTTATCTTTAGGAGTGAGCTGCTACTCTAGACATCTGGACTACAAGCGATTTAAGGAGATAGCTGATGAGAATGGAGCGTATGTACTAGCAGATATGGCTCATGTTAGTGGTCTTGTTGCTGCAGGACTTACCCCTAGTCCATTTGAATACTGTGATATTGTTACCACAACGACACATAAAACCCTCAGGGGTCCAAGATCAGGGATGATTTTCTACAGGAAAGGTATTAGTAGTTTTATTTGCTGTATAGTGAGACCTGGTCTTTGAATTAGTGAAGTCTGCCATGCATTAATCATTTTATTTCAGTGAGCTTTTAGCTCTGTTTTGGTTAATATATTTTAATAGCATAGGCTTTCAGTTTAAATTTAAGAATTACAGTTGAATTTCGGTATCTCAAATCCGAAATCTTGAAAACGTGGATATGTTGAAGTGATTTGGAAGTCCAAACCACATATTCTGTGTAAGTATTTTACCTTCAATATCTCGAATCAACAGTTCAATCAGGTTCCAGATAACGAACTTTGACTGTATATTCAGCATACTTTCTCAATATTGATATCATGTAAGATGTGCAACACTTATTAATTTGATGTGTTTTTCAGGTGTCAGAAGAGTGAAGAATGGAAAGGAGGAGATGTATGACTTGGAGAAGAGGATTAACGAAGCTGTGTTCCCTGGACTTCAAGGAGGCCCCCATAACCATCAAATTGCAGGTAAGGGGTCCCACTAGGCTTGTATAGATTATTTGTCTCAATGTTTAGAAGTGTGTCATGTCTTAACATTAACTTCCAATACAGGTCAAGACTCTTTGTCTCTAAATTCTGTGTAAATGATGGGAATTTCAATCACTTAACAATATTGCAGACTAAAATCATTTTGCATGAAGCCTCCGGCTTGGAATTTTATAGTAGTTCTCATTTAGTAGTAGAAATCTCACTTGTTGATCATGCAACATTTTGTCTGTTTTAGGTGTAGCTGTGGCATTACAACAAGCAATGAGACCAGAATTCAAAGCATACCAACAACAGGTCATCAATAATGCACAAGCTATGTGTCAGGCATTTCTTTCTAAGGGATACACAGTAGTATCAGGTATGTTAACAGAACAAACTCACAAATATACAATAATTGACTTTTGATAATATCGTGATTTTGTTGGAGAGGGTATCCTAAAATTACATTTTATTTACAACATAAATCTACATTTCTTTTGAAAAATCCTAAGCATGACAGCAACATTTTTACATAAATGAACAGAGAACTTTAACCTTAATAATATAATATCTTATGTAGCATATCAAAGTATCTTCTGTGACATATTAGACAAAGATGATTGTCATAGCTTAGGCCATATAAAATTGAAATCTTGGTTCTCAGGCCCGCGCGCATCCGTTTTGAGATAGCCGCATTGCCGATTTTATTGTATTTTTGATAAAATAAAAAGTTGGTACTGCGGAGAGCAATCCCGGAAAAAAATTCCGACCTCACTTCTTTCGTAGTTTAATATTCAAATATCACTTCCGGTTGCCATTTACAATGAGATTTTGGCTACTTCGTTTGAAAATACATTCGAGGACATTACCTACGATGTTTACACACTGTTAAGCAATGGATAAAGCAGAAATTTTGACCAGAAATGGAAAGTATATCTGTGATTAAAAAATTATCTTGATGTTAAAGAAAATTCGGAAATTAAAATTTAAAAAAATACTAGGACTGCCACGGTTCAGACATTTTTCGACTCGGTTCGGTTCAGAAAATAAATTCTCAGTTTTCGGTTTTTTCGGTTCGGTTTTCATTTTGAGAATTTAAATAAAACATCTTTATATATATCAAAGGATAATAAGGATTAAGGACATTGTAGAAAGTACTATTTTGCTGACACAAATTTCTATCCATTTTATTCAACAGAACAAGTTGTTAAATGTAACAAAAAATAACACAAAGTAATAAACTTCTTGTTTAAAATAAAATAAAATAAATATAGTTATTGACCAGAGTTATCACCAAATCACAAGTGTGGGAATACTTCACGTTTTTGAAAGTAGGGGACGTGGTTGACAAAACAATTACTTGTGATTTGGTTTTCCTTCCACATGTGTATGCCATGTTTAAATGTCTTCGATGTTACCTGTATTTTCATTGGTTAAAGAACCCTTCATTGAAATAAACAACCAATCACAACGCGCAGGGGTTCAAAAATTTTTTTGTCATGGTCAAGTCCAGGACTTGAAGAGTAAATTTTAGGCAAGTCCGAGGAAGAAATTTCAGAGTCCATATTTACCTATACATCATTAAATTTATGTAACTTATAATTTATTTTCATTTGTTGCATTGAATAAATAAAGACTATATGTATTAATATATGTTTTATTTTTCCTCCATAAACTGTCGTATATAATCAGACATGAGTATTTCAACACAATACCAGACTGATAGATTACTGGTACATCACATTAACTTTTACAAATACTCACTACTGAATAAACTATCTGTTACAATAAACAGAAATTAGAATGTGCTGTAAGTCACAGCTAAAACCGAAATTTAAGAAACTCATTGCCATTTGTCATATAGGAGGAAACATGAGGAATTGCGTAAAAGCAAGAGTCTAACCGCAACAGAAAATAAAAAGACGGATTGTATTTTCGAAACGTTCGTAATGTTTTATGGGTATTTTAACGCCCACAAACACACATTTATCCTTAATACATTTGAGAATTTGCTTTATTTTTATCTCTACGATCATATTTTTAACTTATAAAAAAAGATAAACAAGAAACATAGCCAAGTCCCAGGAGAATTCTAAATGCCGAGTCCGGATCCGGAATTTGTTAGTCCGGGACGTCGGGCTTGAGGATTTTTGAACCCCTGAACGCGTGTTGCAAGCAAATTAGTATTATATAAAAGATAAAAAAAACCGAACCGAATTCCGGAAAACCTGACTCGAACCGAACCGAATGCCATTTCGGAGCGGTTAACTTCTGTTTTCGGTTAACCGTGACAGCCCTAAAAAATACCTCCCTCATCTATTTTATTGCCAATAAAATGATAAATAAAATGCCGCCCTCCCGCATCTGTTTTGGAGAAAATTGGCCTGAGAACCAGGGAATTAAATTTAGATAGCCTTATACAAAGTGTTTGTCTTGTAATTAGGTGGAACAGAAAACCATTTAATTCTGATTGATCTGAGGCCAAATAATATGGATGGAGCCAGAGCTGAGAGAGTTTTGGAGTCTGTTAGCATCGCTTTGAATAAGAACACGTGTCCTGGGGATAAGAGTGCACTCAAACCGAGTGGACTTAGAATTGGAGCTCCTGCTCTCACATCCAGAAACTTTAAAGAGAAGGACTTTGAACAAGTTGTAGAATATATACACAAAGGTAGGGTTGAAAGATATTTTAGTTTGAGTATTGTTATTAACTTATTTGACTTAATTTTAACAAAGCAAAAGATATAGCACTTAACTCTAGATAATTATAAGTTCCTTCACGCTCACCTCAATTATGTATTATCCAACAAATCTTGCACATATACCAAACAACTTGGAAATAAAGCCCCCCTCCTCAAATCTGATTTACATTATGAATATATAATCATTGTTGTGTAATTTCAGGTCTAGAAATAACAAGAGAGGCAATGCAGGGCTGTGGTCCACTTTTAAAAGATTTCAAACTCAAATTAGTTGAGGATCCAGTAATAAAAGACAAAATTGCCAATCTACGCAAGGAAGTGGAAAACTTTGCTCTTCAATTCCCAATGCCTGGAATTGATAACTGGTGAATATTATTGCTACATGAAAGACTGAAGTTAATTTTTAATCCAAAGATTATTGAATCTTGAACCATGGGGACATGCAAATACTTTTATGGGAGAATATTTAAGTGAATAGAATTTTGCTCCATGACAGGCAAATCCAGGGAACTCCTTTCTGTATAATATTTATACATCGTTCTATTTAAGATGTGTTCTGTTCTACATTACATCATGTAACTGATTATTTACTATCATGAATGTTGTCATAATAAATTTTAGTAAATTTTGTCAAAGATATTGTCAGCAAACTTCATACAGGGAGGGTTCTTTTCATTTGAGCTAACCCCAGATGAAATCCTCATCAAGTTATTCTGATTAAACTTTGTCTATCATCATTTCATTGAAAAGATAAATTTTATTGGGTTGAGTCATTTAAAAAATCTTTGCAAGATTCACTTGGTCAGAAAAGATGAATGTGGAAGCTTTAGTTCAAGTTTGGTTTCATGTTCAAATCATTACCCCCAGGGTTCTTCTGAAGAAAGGCAAAGCTTTGATCATTCATACTTATGGGTAGTGCAAAGGACTATATTCAGTAATGGCCTGTATTTGCACACAAAAACAAAGTTTGACAGAAGTCTATAATTTATGTCCTAAACCGGGGAAATACTGTGAAATCACTTATTTTCATGGAGGTTTAATTTTCATTAATTTAAAGGTATGAAGAGACCCACTATGAAATATAAAATTTCATGAAGATAACTACTCAGTACTTACCCATCCGCAAAATCCAATCCCAACAAACCAATATTTTCCCTAAAACTCGGCTCCGCCTTGCCAGGTATGAAATTTACTAACCAGGTATCATCCCCTACCCTGTCACTAAAAGACCATGTAACTAATAATACATGAAGGAAATAAAAGACATAGAATACAAAATAAGTATAAAAATCATGCTAATTTCTCTGAATGCCTATTGCTTTCTAACCTAAAATATATCGGTTGATCAATTTTCCATTCAAAAATGCATGGCAGCTATTCTTGTTAGCTTATTCTGAATATATTATATTGGGGATCTGACATTTTTCCCTATATAATATGATTAATTGTAATTTTTAATTTTAAAGAAATGCCGTGGGTAAATTTACATTACTTTGTGGATACAGAGATATTTTATGAGTATTTTCAATTGATTAAATGCTAACTTTATGAACCTGAGGATCAGACTACCTTAAGAACCAGTGGGCCAGGAAAGCTGAAACTTATGTGGAAGCATCCTGGGATCATGCAGATTCTGAATTGTTTATATCATGACACCCACCCATCCCCCGAGGAAGGGCGGAGCCACAATAGGGAATCCAAGTTTTCATTGAAAGATATAGTAAAACTCCTCGGGCCATGAAAGCTGAAACTTATGTGGAAGCATCCTGGGGTAGTGTAGATTTTAAATTGTTCAAATATTGACTCCCGGGGGTAGGGGAGGACCACAATTGGTATTACAAGCTGGAGAATCATGTGAAGAACAGCATGGCCAATGTTACTCAGGTAAGCACTGTGGCCTCCCATTTTAGAGTACAACTTCCATAGATAAGTAACTGGGCTGCCCCCCTCCCTCCCCAAATAATTTACTATAGTATACTATAGAAAACATAGTTACTTCATGTCCCCTCAAAAAATTTTTGACCTTTTTCTTTTGATTGTCAAGGAATTTTGGTAGTTGATAGTACTTCCAACTGAAAATATATGACTGCCCCCCGCCCCCAAATGAAATTGCTTCCTACAGGCTTCTATGCTCAAAATTATAGTAACAGGTGCCCAGACTGAGGTGGACCAAAATATAAAATACATGTATGATCAGAATGCAATAACTGATCAACTGTCAGCACTAAAATGCACGCATATATGCTAAGCACTACTTAAACGGATATAAGGACAGGGTTTATTGGTTTTTTGGGGGTAGGAAAAGAGTAATCACAGAGTAATTCTATATGACTGTAAAGTCTCTTTAATAAATAAACAGATCTGTTGAACAAATATCACATAAAACTTTTATCATACAAGTATTTTAGAAATCATTGTCATCGATTTCATCCTGTTCATTCACATTATCATTGTCATCATCATCGTCGTCGTCATCATCATCATCTTCATCATCATCGTCATCAAGGTCAATTTCTGAATCATCCTGTATAATAGATAATATAATATATATTTTTGTACAAATGATTATTTTCATGGAAAATAAATGAGAACTAAGTCAATATTTTCTCCTATTTATTGTGAAAAAGAATTTTTTTAAACTTAAAAACATTACTTTGAGGGAACAGATATGATTGGGATGACAATCCATATTCAAATGTTCAGGATACCAAAGTTTAACTGTATATTAAATACAGGAAATGAGGGAAAAGCACATTTGATTTCTTGTCATAGATCTTTTTTGTTATCAAATTTAGCATCATAAATGAAAAGAGAAATCATTTACCTTCAGAAGTATAATAACAAATTGACTGTTGTCAACTTGTCACAGATAATTCATTATGATTGCAATAGTCAATCTTATGTATCATACAAATATCAGCAGGATAATTTATACATACATCACTAACATCCGGGCCCAGCATATTTCCTATCACTCTCTGCTTCCTCTCACCCGCTGCTGCTGTAAACGCAATATATACGAAACCTCAGTAACAAATTAACATCAATTATCATCAAATATCAGTTACATTTTAATGTCAGTATTAAACAATTCAACCTCAGTTATATTTCAACTTCAGTAAGAATTCAACCTCGGTTATAATTCAACTTCAGTAACAATCCATCATGGTAATGATTCAATGTATTAGGATTTATAATTTAAACCACATATTCTGACAAATGTATATGTAGCATAAACTATAAGAATATATATGTATATATATTGTTCTATTCAAGATACTATTTCATTGTGTTAACTGATCATGCAGGGTTTAATGTAGGAATAAATGCTGAATCTACTAACCTTGCATAAATTTTCAAAAAAGCAGGAAATTAATATCAATGTAAGAAAAAATACAAAATAATTAGATATATAAAATCAATGTCATGGCATACTCATCATGATATGCATTGTACAATAAAAATTAAATTACAGTATCAACTGAATGGAAAAAAGAACTTGATATTGCTGTCTGATTTATATCAACAAAACATGTTTCATAATATTGAACTGTATATAAAATGCTTATCACTATAGAGGTTTTGAAACCAAAATATGATTTGTTTTCTTTTGCCGATTATATAAAATTTGAAACAGTGTGAAACAGAAGTGCTTTACTGTCAATGTTAATATCTCTAAAATAGTCACAAATATTCTTGACAAAGTTACTGTGTAGGAAACTTCCATAAACATTTTTTTTTTGTGGTAGCAATATATTTTTAACTTCTAAAATGACACAATTGTTCTCGAGTGCTTATTGCTTTGCTGCAAAATGTTCTTCTGAAATTGCTTTCTTGAACCACACCAGTTTAGAGACAGTGTTTCATCAACAATATGATTCTCTTGATTTGAATTTAAACAAAAAACGGTTATCAAGTGCAAAATTTCCCTGTGTGCTATTCAGTAACACTACACAAAGGTTTATGCTCCAAGCCACTGACCTCATTTCCAATGAAATAAATATCATGAAAGAAAAAATTTAAACCAAAAAACTTTAAAACATTGAAAATTCTTTTTCCAATTTAAACTTTTAAGTAGAATAAAAGAACTAAACAAGACAGCAGAGGACATAAATGTTGAAGAACTGCCCTTGCCCATTTCCTGCTTTTTATCAACAAATAAAACAAACTAATTCTAAACAATTAACTAAAAATAAATGCTGCACAGAAATAGATTATCTGTCATATATTGAATAGAATATAACATCTAATTTTTAGCTTACCCAAAATAAGACTATATGTATAGCTGACTATTTTTATTCAAAACTAGCCAGCAACTATACTATGATACTTGATAAATACATGTACTGCATTAGCCAATGCATATGTACATTGTATCTTTTAAGGGATGGTTGCATTTTTGTTTGAATTAAAGTTAGTTAACTGTATATCTATCCTGATTTTACTTTACTGAACCTGGAAGATGCAACAGAAAAGTATTTCTGTGTTGACTATCTTTAATTTTCCAAAACTAGATTACATTTGTAACATTTCACTCACCAGCCACAGGTCTGGACATTTTTTCTACTGTTGTTTTATTAATATAACATTTAAAGACAAATCATGAGCAAGATTTCCATTGTTTTAGAATATAAAAAAAATATTCTCTACATGATGCTTCAATAAATTATAGATCAAAAAATAATTAGCATGCGTAGAACTTATTCAAAACAAACTCTACATTTTCGAAAAAAAAAATGTACTTACTTTGTTAATTTTTAATTAAAAAATTCAGAATACTGAACCTTTTTTGGTTATAAACTTGGGTTTTAAACTTCATTTTCCATTTAATTTCAGCCTGAGATAAACAATGTGGACTTAAGTACTCACCGTCAGGCCGTTGTCGTACGGGCTGCTGAACGTCAGTATCCGATTCATCCGACTCATCCAACCCATCATCCGAGTCCCGGGATATATCTGAAAATAATGTCAACTACACTTACTCTGCCTAAATTAGCTAATTTTATGTTTAATATTCTACTCATCAAATGCACCCAAGACATTCAATCATAAGTTTAAATCAAATAATGAAATATTCCCTTCAATACTGAACAGGGGTTACAAGATAGGCATATTCTGAATTCATAAAAGAATAATTATTCAAGAGTCATTCAAACGAACTTAAATGGCATGGCATCTACTTCAAGGAGTACCAGTATTTATTTATATAAATTAATAACCACATTTTACCAATGTCATCTGGCATGATCTTCTGACGATTCTGTTCCTCACTCTTCAGACGGTCAGCCATCTGTTTTAATTTTTCTTCCGTCTCCTGTGTACAGAAATCCCATTTTACTTTCATTTCCAAAGAAAAACTTGACTTCAATACAAATAAAATAATAAGAGATAAAACCACATCTCCATTGACCTCAAACTTGTCCTGTTCTGCCCTGTGGTACTCCTCTTGCTGTGCCTCTAGATATGTCAGGTTACGGAACTTATCCATGTAAACTTCATATAGCTTCTGTAGGTCCTCCTCCAACTTCTCATACTCATCCATGTAAGCAGGTCTATAATATGATTATATTATGTAAGTTTTTCTTCTTTAATTGAAATCATAATGAGAATTCTAGCCGGTAACTCAAAATAGCAA